ACAGCCAGAGCAGTAGAAAACTGGTGACCTTTGACCTTGGCCACAACTGTGTGACTTCAATGGCCTAGGCTGCTGACTCCTTATTCTCTTAGCCTGGGGGAGTAGCTGGAACTGAGTCTGGACCCAGCCTACCTAGGTTTGAACCCTAAGGCCTTGGGACATCTGGTCTACCTGTGTGATTCAGTGTACTCATCCGCAGACTGAAATGCCAATGACCCCGGCCTTGGGTGGTTTTCAAGGTTGTGTGGTCTCCTTGTATAAATGACCGGGTGACATGTTTGGGATGAATAGAGCAACCGTGATAGTAGAAATCTTATCATCCCCTCCACAGGAACATCATGAAAGAGTGTATAGAGAAAAAAAAAAAAGGTGCTGGATGAGAGAGTAGAGGCCTGTGAAATGCTGTCGGACGGCCTGACCTGGCCTGGCACTCCTGAACTCACAGCCGCTGTGATGGTCTCTACAGGGTCTGCGTAAGACTGAGCGGATCAACAGTCAGTCACAGACTGGGCGGAGCTCTTAGGGCTCAGCCCCTCCCAGGTGCATTAACTGTAGCGGAGAGCAGCTGGTGGAGTGGAAGCCATTGTTTCCAGAAGTGTCTTCAGTGTGAGTTACTCACACTCCGTGGGACAGGATCACACCCAGGTCCATGCCGGACTAGAAACAAGACCAAAAGCATGAAAGGGAGATGGGGACTTGGTGGGAGGAGGGGCCTGGTGGGATGGGAAGAGGAGAAGGGGGTGAGGGGATGGGTGTGAGTGACCAGAATGTATCACGTGTGTGTACAAGACGATCAGATAAATTCAGGTGTTCATAAGTGGGCCTACCCGGAAGACAGCACTGAAAAGATGAACAACAGCCTCATCCCCGAAGCCACATAGCTCGGCAGACACTGAAAGCCTGAGCTGATGGGGCCTAGGCCCAAGCCATGGGCACGATACGGCACCGGCGCAGCCCGCCAGGTGGCAAGGGTGTTAGCAGGTGGCGAGGCAAACACTGAAGAGTCATCACTGGGGAAGTGGGGTCATGAGCCTGGGTGAGGACCTGTAAGTGGCCACCAAAGGCATCTCCACAGATCATCATCCAGTGCATGAGGAATCTAGGTCACCTGGTGTCCCCTGCTGTGGAGAGTCATGATAAGAACTCCCACCTAATCCACACAGAAACCCCCGCACAATAGGGTGAAGCCACCATTTCAAAAACAGTCCCAGAAAAGATTCCACAATCCATCAGAACCTACTCCGATGGTGGGCATCCGCGGTTGAAAGCTGGCCCTCTGGTGTCTACCCCTTAGGTCTGAATTCCTCTGATAGTCAGGAATAGTGAGACTCATGGCGGGCTCTTTTATATCTGTTCTTAGATTCTTCAGCCAATGTCAGGGCTGGTGGGATTGTTTAGAGAGGCCTCAGGTAGCTCCCAGCCCATGTGAATGGTTCTACATTGATCCACACTTGGTCTTGTTTTGTTTAAGGATAAGCAGATGTGAAGACAAGACGCAAAAGTTAAGTGTTATAATAATAACCCTGAAAATCAATAAGCAATACAACCGCCTTGCTACAAAAGAAAGACAGAAGCCCCCTCAAAGAAGCTAGTCCAGAAAGGGAGCAACCCAGGCTGCGTGTGATGGGGTACATCTGTAACCCCAACACTCAGGAGGCACAGACAAGAGGATTTCAAGTTCAAATCCAGCATGAACTACATAACAAGACCCTGTCTCAACCCCATCCTGAAAAGTAAGAAGGGAATAAAGGGGAAGGGAAACAATAGAAATCCAAACAACAAAGGGTGTGGGACCTTAAGCAACTGACTTTATAATAATAAAAATACAAACAAAACCACTGGATTTAAAGAACTAAAAATACCACATGGCTGGCAAGGGTATGGGGCACCTGCACTTCTCAAGTGCTTCTCGTGGGGTAAGTTGATACAACCACTCAGAAAAATATCTGGAAGTATCTACCACAGCTAAATATACAGAGTGACCCACACCTCCGTCCTCGCCTGGGATGTGAACGCCTACATCCCCCCAGGCATCGCAAAATCAGCTGGAAGCAATCAGGATACCCTTCCACAGAAGAATGGGTAAGTGAACAGCGGTTTGCTCATGCGCGGGTAACATGCACAGTGAGACGTCACCAGTGTGGGTGGATCTGACAGACACAGAGTTCCTGCCTGAGGATACCCACTGCTCCTGACCGACAGCAAGAAAGGAGGGGAGAAGAGAAGGAGGGTGAGGAAGAGGAGAGAGGAAGGGAATAAGGGAACAGAGGGAAGAGGGATGTGGGGAGGGAAGGGAAAGGAGACAGCCAGAGCAGTAGAAAACTGGTGACCTTTGACCTTGGCCACAACTGTGTGACTTCAATGGCCTAGGCTGCTGACTCCTTATTCTCTTAGCCTCTTAGGAGTTCACACAGTGTAAGAAGCCAGGCGCAAACTGGGCTGCTGTGGTGCACGCCTTTAATCCCAGCACCGGAGAAGCAAAAGCAGGCAGTACTCCGAGTTTGAGGCCACCCTGCTTTACAGAGAGAGTTTTGGAACAGCCAGGGTTACACAGAGAAGCCTTGACTCAAATTTTTTTTTTAAAAAAAGAATGAAAAAAAAGGAGGGGGAAGTCAGGCGCAGCATAGGTCCTGGGTGTCCCCAGTTATATGAGGGTCGTGGACAGGCAAAGCTGTTAAGAGGGGAAGTGGGGGGAATTATCTAGAAGAGGCTAACAAAGAACTTTCTAGAAGAGTTGGAAATCTATATTTGGGTGGTAGTTATATGGACATTTCTATACATTAAAATCCACTGTGTGGTAAACATAATGAGTTCACTTTATATAAATTAGATCCAATAAAAAGTAAATTTATGCCTATAGTTCCAGCACTCAAGAGGAAGATGCAGGAGGCCAAAAATCCTGTATCCAAAAAAAAAAAAATAGAATAAATAATATTTTTTAAAACTTAAAATATCAAACCAATAGTAAAATGTCATCTAATCCCTCAGTAATAGGAAAATAAATTATAAATATATTTGAGTGTTACTCTTATTTGGGGCAGGTGAGAGACATATAGAATGATATTTCAAAAGAGTAATCCTAAAAACTCAAACAATGCCTGTCTCTTACACCAGCAATTTCATGGACAGAAACTTAACCTGTGAAAGAAGCCAAGAGATGCACAAAAATACTTTTACAAAGCTCTCTAACTCCGAATTGCTTAGAACAGTATGGAAATTTGAGCACACGGGAGTGATTAAAAGCTAGATTATGTAAATTTGCCTCATGTGTGAGATAGAATGTTCTAGACACCCATTAAAAGTAAGGGAAGAAGAGCCAGCAAGATGGCTCAGTGGTTATGAACACCTGCAGCTCTTGCAGAAGACCCAGGTTCAATTTTCAGCACCCAAGTGGCAGCTTACAACCATCTGTAAATCCAGTTCCAGGGGATCTAGTACCTTCTAGCCTCTTCAGGCATTAGGCATGTACATAGTGTGCAGACAGACATTCTTGCAAGTAAAACACACACACATAAAATCAAATAATAAACTTTCAAAGTTAAAAAATTAATGGAATAGGAAATAGCAAACAAGGCATAACACAAAATGCTCCTTATAGTCATATCTTCATGAAAGGTGGATATAGACATATGGATGGACAGAGGACCTGGGTAGATGATAGCTAGACAGACAGATTCTGAAGGGCATCAACTAACATCGATCATTCTCTCTTGGGATGGCAGATCATGGGTGACATCTTTGTTTTTTTATGGCAAAGGAACTGAGCTGGAGTGCTGTTTAAAGTTAGGGAATGTATTCTGATATTTAGATCACAGTTTTGAAGGCTAGAAGTTTAAGATTGAGTGGCTTCATCTGTTTGGACTGTGGTAAGGGCCTGTGGCAGCAACGTGTGTGGAAGAAACCATCAGTGAGACCAGAAGCACGGGACAGCTGGGTTACAGGAGGGCACAAAAGGGGTGACAGCGCCCCATGCCTCTTCTGAGCCTGTGAAACCCAGACTCCCATTCCCCTCCCACTTAACTACACTGCTACCAAACACAGGTGGAGTCCGTGCTCATGACTGTACACAGAAGATCTTCACCCCTGCCCAGCTGTGTGGTGAACTTGGCTCCTTCCCCCTCCCCCTCCTGCATATCCTCCCCCTGTCAGCGTGGGTGGGAACATGCTGAAGGCAGAAGAGGAAGAAGAAGAAGAAGGAGGAGGAGGAGGAGGAGGAGGAGAAGGAGAAGGAGAAGGAGAAGGAGAAGAAGAAAAGAAAAGAAAAGAAGAAGAAGAAAAAGAAGAAGAAGAAAGTCTTGTCCTTATGATCACAATAATCCAGTCAAGGAAGCTGGACCCACTGGACCCCTACACTGAAGGAAAGGGACCCATCCATAGGTTCAAGGCTGGGCACTGTAGATAAGGACCCACCCATATGTCCAAGGCTAGGCACGGTAGATAAAAGCCCTAGGCTGAGTTGGTGAAGTGATTGCAGGCACGAAGACCCGAGTTTGTTCTCCAGAATTCATGTTTTTAAAAGTTGGATTTGGTAGCATGTCCTCACAATGCTAACACTGGGTAGACAGAGAGGCAGGTGCCTAGAGCCTGCAACTGGCCAGCCTAGCCCACAAGGAAAGTTCCAGGCTAATGAAAAATTTGATCTCAGAAGACAAGGTGAGTGGCACCTAAGGAACAGTAGCTGAGGTTGTCCTCTGGCCTCCACATACACACACACACACACACACACACACACACACACACATACACACACACACATACATACACACACATACACACACATACATACACACCTACATACACACACCACACACATACACATACACACACATACATACACACACATACATATATACACACACCACACACACATATACACACACCACACACACATACACACACATACACACACACACCACACACACATATACACACACCACACACACATACACACACATACATACATACACACACATACATACACACACACACACACACACCACACACACACACACACCATGTGCCCTGATTGAAAAGAAGAACATGTCCTGGTGATTGGGGCCCAGGATGAGTCTGGGGTTTCTCTTCTCCCTGAGAGCCTTTCACAGTGAGTCTAGACTTCTGAGTTTCTTCAGTGACTCCTTTGGCACTACAGCCTAGATGCTCAGGAGACTTACTATGTCCCAAGAATTACCCACCAAGAGCACAGCATATCCAAAGCCTGGCTCTACCTTGATATTTTCTTTCTCTTTTCCATAGCAGACATCAAACCACAGGGTTACTCTCTACTGCTAGGAACAGCTACTCAGATCGTAGGTTGGACTGCCACCTGGAGTTTCTGGCCTTCAGGGTTTTGCCTGTTTAATAATCCCCAAACCAATGATGAAGGAACCATCGACACTGGGCTTTTAGACAGGAACCTGGTCCTGTCTGGTCCCCCGGTCCCCGGCCCCGCCCCACTCCATCCTGTGTCCTCCTCATACCACCTCGTACCCATTCCTCCCACACCCTCAGGCTTCTGGAGGGACTTGAAGATTACACAGGAGGAAAAGTTCTTTGTAACCTAGAACATCCACCCTGCGTTTGATGTGTTTTCTTTATTACCTGTGTCTTGATTCCATTTGCAAGGGCCACTCCTCATCTCCCCATGTCCTTTATTCTCCAAGACAGTAATGTGATGTAGACGCCACCCAGGAAGAGTCGGTCTTGTCCAAAGGGTCATCAAAGCCAAACAGCCATCACATTCCTCAAGTCAGGTGCATCTGCTTGTAAGAGACCATCAAGGATTGGCCCCGATGTTCCCTTGGTGAAGGGGGTAGGGGCGGGGAGGGACATGGATCCTCATTTGAGAGTCTGGATACTCCTTCCAGCCATTTGTATGCACTGCTGCCCCAGCTCTATGTGATCTCTCAAGAGGTACCAGAGTATACAAACTGGAGGGGATTAACTGAGAGGGTCTCCATCATCCATGCTGAGAGAAGACCAGACCACCCAGAACGACTAACAAACCCCTCACCCATGCTCTATAATTAACCTCAATAAAATCATGGATTCCCACGGTTGAATTTGGGACATTGTACTTGAGTTTGTTACTGGGACTTTATAAGGAGGGAGTGGACATCATTTACATTTCCCAAATAAAAGAATTTTCCCGACAGTTGGCCTCATGCTCAGAGGTCCTGCCTGGCTAGTGACCAGTGCCTGAGCTATAGAGGCTCCTGAGTACCCATTTTACTTTGGCTCCATAACCTTGGGGACCTTGACAGAGTCAGGGCATGCGTGAATGCCACATGTAGGGATGATAGAATTAGTTGCTGGCCCTGGGGAAGGGGTGTGGCTTGAGATCAAAGAAATTTTGATTAGGAGATGCCCCCTTGGTCCCCAGCTTGTGGGGGGGGGGGGAGGCGTGGAATGGAGGTAAGGGTGTCTGTGCTTGCAGGCAAAGGTCACCAAGAGTGAACGCAATACCTTGAAAAGATGCTCCTGGGCTGGAAGCCACCGAATTCTCTCCACTTACTTACCCGGTACTTTTCATCTTCAAAGCTCTGTGCCTCAATTAAGTAATTAATAGGTCTGGTCATGTCCACAGCGCTCCAAAAATAAGGCTGTTGAGGTTTTGCTTTTCCTCCAGAAGACACGCTTTCTCGTGGAGCCCAGGGAAGCCAAGAGAAGACAGCCAGGGTCCAACCCCTCAGACCTCCACTTCAGACCAGTTTAAACTGGGCAAGAAGGCGGAGGAAGCGCACGCAGAGGTTGTGGTCTGCTGCCCCCTGGAGGGTGTTCTGATAACAGCAAGAAAATGGATCCACATAAACAATGCCTCCAGTAATAGGAAGCAAACAGCCGTTTCGTCTATGAAGAAGTGTCTGGCCGTTCACAGCCTCCGTAAAAAGAGGAAAATACTAACCTGGAGCACAATAACTCCTCTCTATTTTCAGCCACAGCCTAGACAGACGGTGTTGATACCGCGTTAACAAGTTCCAAGGGCTAGTGCCTTCAGAGTAAAATGAGAGGACTCCTGAATTAATGGGTGAAAACTCCCCTTCATACATCAGAGGAGGAAAGGAAGGTAATTGCCCTCAATATTTATTTTTGATTTGGAAAAATCCAAAGCAAGAGGCTTTGAAGAAGTCAAGATCTGATTATAATTCTAGGCTCTGTGCCAGTGGGGTAAATTGTCTGGCAGATTTTTTCCAGCATTATCGACTCCCTTTGCATCTGACGCCAATGGCCCAGCATGGTACAAAGGGCTCAGGACAGGGTGTCATTACTACATCACTGGTGATAGCCTGGTCACCCCCACTCTTGGCATCTCCAGCCTGTGAGCAGTCTGGGTTCTACTTTGAGGTCCTCATGATTCAGTGTTCCGGGCTGGCATGTCTAAGGACTTCTTGACTTAGACAAATAAATAAGTAAACAAACATTCAAAAGGCACACACACTCAAGATGTGTACAGGCTGTATGTACTCTCTTGTACATACAGACGTGTAGATGTACAGAACTTTCTACTAGCCCAGCCTGGAGTCACGGGGGCTGAGAGCTGGTCTGCAGTAGATCCCCGGGCTGAGAGTCAGTCAACAGTATTCCAAGAGAGGTGAGGAAACAGCCAAGAAGCAGGCACACTGGCTAAGCCTGAGCTGGTGGAAGGGTGTGCATGGTAAGGATCTACCCTGTGGCCTGAGCCAAACATGGCGGACCGGAGCTCTCCCTCTGCTCCCCAGGGAGCTCAGGTTAGTGAGACATGGGGCTGGAGAAGGTACTTAGGGCTAGAAAAGAACAAGATGATGCAGAAGGAGTCGGGACCCAGCAGATGGAAGTACCACTACCAGTTGCCCTGTGAAGCGGTGGATATTGGAGCTGGGTGTCACCCAGACGTGGATCAGCCACGCTGCCAAGCCAAGAGAGGCAGCTCCTGAAACAGATGATGGCATTGCCCTAAGAACAGCTTTTTTTCCAGCTGACACCAGAGTGACCCAAACACTCTTCCAGAAAGTCCAGTTTTAAGATGGTATAACAGGCTGTCTTGGAAAAGGCTTAACCAAAACCATGGGGTGGGGCGTGGGGAGGGCGGGGCATACAATAACCAAATCCCAGTGACCCCACCCTGTCTGCAGTTACTCAGGGCTCACTGGCCAAGACCCAGAGAGCAGCCAAGTCCGGCTGCAGTCTATCCAAATTCAATTTTCTACTGAAGATGGAAACAAGCCAAGCCAAGGTAAACTTAGAACAGGACACAGCAGACGTTGTCATCAGTGACCCCAGCGAGGTCCCCACCCCCTTGGGAGGATGGTGACATGCCACAGCCGGCTGCTGCTCAAACGTTTTTCAGATAGAAGTCGATTTATGCACAACTACAGGATGACACCATTATAGTCTTTGTTTTACAAGTGGGGAAACTGAGGCACAGCGCCAGTCAGGTGACTTACCTAAGCTCCCAATGTAATAGCAGCGCAGGTTTGAACCCATTTGTCTGTCTCTCCGTTTCTACATGCAAGGGTTGTGATGAAAGCCAAAATGACCAGCATGCTATCTGGAGACGGTCTTGGGGAACGACCATGGCAAAGTGATGGTGGTCACCCTGGGAAGTGGGAGGACCGGCGAGGAGGCTCCGTGGAGCTGGGAGCTCATGCCAGAGGCCACTGAAGACCCACTCTCGGCACGTTATTTTCTATGACTCCGGCCTTCCCTGGGTAGACATTTCCACTTCTGTCAAATGAAAAGAATATACAAAGCTCGAGACACAATACTGTGTGTGTGTGCCTTTTAAATGTTCATTTATTTGAAACATTTTTGTCTAAGCCAAGAACAGGTAGGTGTTCATTGAGCCCACGGTGTGCTCACCGGGCTCAGCCCCACAGAGAGCAATCCCTGGGAGCAAGGGATGTAGGAGTGTATTCACTGTTGGGTCATGAGCACTCAAAGAGCAGGGCGCCGTGGAAGAGGACGTAGGCTTGGGAAGGAGCAGCGGCCTTGGGTCCAGGGAATATGGCCACACCGTAAGAGAGAAGAAGCCCCTTTGGAAGGCAGCTGGGGTGGAGAAATAGCCGTGAGGGGAGAGGCTCCTGATGCAACGCTCTCCTTGCCGCAGCCCCCTTCCCACCGAGTCACCCCCACAGTTCCCTTCTCAGCTCTAGACCTAGGCTGGGGGAAGGGTGGGCTTGAGAACCACTGTCCTTTCAGACATCAGTCCTGTTTTCCTGTCTGTGGCTAACACTCCCCCCGCGGTTGAGGCACATTTCTGAGGTCCAGAGTCTTTGAGATTTGCTCTTTTCACTCCATTCATGTCCACTTCTAAAAGCAGCTGAACACTGGGGGGGAGGGCAGGGTTGTCATGCGTGATCATGGAGGGGACTCAGAGGTCTCTTGGCCATGTCATCTGTGTCTAGTGGTTTTTGATTGAAAATTGTTTACTCTTTGCCTATTTATTTTTCAACTGTAATGTGAATTACCTGAGGCTTATATCAGGTGCAATATTAAAAGACTAATTTAAATTTTCTTAACTTTTCGTTCTTTCTTTTTTTCTTTTTTTTTTTAGGTTTTTCGAGACAGGGTTTCTCTGTGTA